GCCAGCTGTACCAACCCAGGGTCACCTGTTGACAGGATGCCATCTTTGCCTCATCCCTCCCTTAGACCATGCCCCCAGGGGCTGTGGGCCCCTCCTCAGGTTTCCTTGAACAGGTGCCTCTCTCCCTAGCTGAGCAGCAGTATCATTGCAGAGGCCCAGGGTGCCACCTCAGGAAATTACCTCCCTGGGCTACTCCCAGCTTCTGCCCTCTTCCTCCATGCCTTTCTCCCTTTCTCTCCATCTCACACAGCCATTTCTCTTTCCCCCTCTGCCTCTTATACCAGATGCGGTTATGACCCTTCCACACAGCACTTTCCTTCCTTGTCTGCTCCTATGGCTGCTTCGATCTGTGCCCTTGCCAGTTGCCCTGGGGGCTGGGGTTATAGCTCCATTGTCATGTGACCAGCTTTCCCTCACCTTGAACCTCCATCCTTTCAGGTCTCTTCCAGGGCTACCATAGCACATTCCAGGGCTCCCTCTTTCCCCAGAAAGAGGGATCCCTCTGTGGGTTCCTCCCAGCAAGCTGAGATTTCTCAGGGAGGCAGACCGAAGGTCAGGGATCTAGAGCCTTGCACACGGGTAGATCTGCCTTTCCCCTCTGCTTAGTCCCACATCCAGGACTGAGCCTTTGAATCTGACTTGATGAGGCAGGGGGCAGGCAGCCTCTGGTCCAGGACCATTGTGGTCAGTGCTTTTGCAGAGTGTACATCAGCATAGTGCTAGATGCTTTGTATGGAGGATTTCATTTAATTCTCACCAAAACTCTCGCTCATCTTGATTTCCAAGGGAGAAAACCGAGGCATGGAGAGATCAAGTCATTTGCTCAAGGTCACCCACCTAGAGAGTGGCAGAGATGAGATTTGAACTGAGTGCCCCGGACAGCGTACCCTTAGCCTCTGTACCATCTTTTGCCTCGCTGTGTCCCTGTGGTGAGGCTGCTGACTCAGGGCATATAGGTGATCCCAAAGCAAAAATGTTCCAAAGTCCCTATGCATGTGCCAGGCATCTGAAGATGATTGATGGTGCTCTTTGGTCTGCATTTTCCCAACCTATGCCTGGGAGGGAGTGTCGCTCCAGCAGCAAGCAGCAGAAGGGACCTGGCAAGGGTCAGCACCAACAGACAAGTATGTAGGGGCTGCTTGTCGGCTGGTACCCAGATTCCAAGAAACCTCCCCTGGAAGGGACAGAGCAGAGCCTGGTCATGGGCACTCATGCCCAGAAGCTGGGGGTTTGAATAGAGGAAATCTCCACAAGCCCCATCCACAGGATGGCCACCATTGGGCTCCCAGCAGGTGGATGTTGAGAGGTTTGGTTTGCCATGTAAGAGAGAGCCAGGGAAATCCTTTCCGCATCCCTTCCTTTCCAGCTGTTTGGGAACCAGTCAGGCTCTAGATCACATTGATGCCAGAAGGAAAATAGTGTGTGAGTTCGTTCTCCCTTCTCTGTGGCACCTATAAGCCCCAATTTCTGCTGCCTGATAGCAAATCAAGGGGTGAGCAAAACAGGTAAGGCTGTGTGAGACACCAAGGCCTCTCACTGCAGAAGAGTGTAGGGGAATCACGCTCCCCGCGCCCCACCCCCAGGTCCTGGCCACTGGAAGATCCATCCAGCTGTCTTCCTTGGGCAGTCTGTCACTCTGGGTGGGGGTGTGGACTAGGCAGGAAGAAGCTGTTGAAATGGTAGGGAGGATGGGAGTGGGACAAAGGGAATGGGAGCCCACAGAGCTGGTCCCGCTCAGAGGACTGGTGAGCTCAGTGGGACAGAGAGGCGGGAAGATGGGTGGAGGGGTCAGGGACCCTGCCTTGCCCTCTCAGATGTGCTGCCTCACCGCTGTGTTCCAGCTGTGCCTGAGTCAGTCCCACCCAGGCAGGCTTCCAGGAACCCTTGGCAATAAGGGAACTGCTTACATTTCACAGCTGGTGGAAAGCCCACTGCTTGCCATGAAGCAGAAATGGCCGCCCGAAGGCTCTCAAAGCACAGCTCTTAGGCATGCCTCCTCCATAGAGCCCAGCCCAGCCCATGGCCAGCTCATGTGGAGCTGTGACTGGGAGGCTGTGGTCGAGGAGACACCTGCTGTGTACTCAGGCACAAAGACATCCTGGAGAGAGGGTGGCTGGGGCCTCACAGCCAGGGGGGGCTGCCAGGGTCTCTCTGGCCTGGCACCTCTCCCCTGCACGGGGGTGGGAGTGGGGTTAACCTGCTCTGCCTTTCCTGCCCTTTCTCCTCTAGAAGCGTTGCAGCCCAACCAACTCACTCCTTTTGTTTCAGGTCTCTGGCAGATTAAAATACCCTGACTCCCCCACCTTTCTTGAACACTGGGACTCCTCCCACCCTCCTATTGCGCGGCCCTCCCTTCCCACTCCCCCAACCCCCAGTAACATTCAGTTACCATGTTTCCTAGGCGGATGCTGAGCCTCCTGGAACCTGCTCTTGTTCCTGTATCTGTGCTGCTCTTCCCTGTCCTCTTCCACCTCTCCCTCTTTCCCGATTCCTAGCCGCACACAGGTCCCCTGTGTTTTCCAAAATCCAGTCTTCTACACATACCCGTATCTCTAGTTCCTTTGGGGGTTTTGGTGTTCTTTCTACCTCCCTTCCCCAGAGTTTGGGGTTCTCCTTTGGCCCCAGGAGTGATGTCTTGGCATTTTGCCTAGAGTATGCGACTCTACTTAGAGAGAGGGATCTTTCTCTGTCTCTCTGTCTGTCTGTCTCTCTCTCTCTCTCTCTCTCTCTCTCTCTGACACACAGGCCCTGGGTTATTCAGATAAAACCCTCTGGAAAGCCAACAAGGGAGCTTTAGGCTGACCCCTCCCCTAACGCACATCCTAGCCAGGCTCCGTCTCCCCCTCACCCCCACGCCTCCAACCACCTTGGTGCCATCTGTTTTTCTGGGCAGCAGTACTTGGGAATGGAAAGGTCCTTTTCCTGGGACTTGACCTCCCGTGCTAAGCGTAATAGCCTCAGAGCAGATTTTTTGTCTTGTGGTCCTGCCGGAAAGAGGGCATGGCTAGGAAGTGGGTCAGGGAGGGTACTGGGGAGAGCCAGGAGGAAATAGCAGAACGCAGAGGCCTGGCTGCTGTGAGTAAACCCTGGACAGGGAGCACTGGCAGCATTCCAGAGTGCTGGGACTGGGGACATCTGGGGACTTCTCATGGCACCCTTCAGGCTCCCACTGAGGTGGCCTGTCCCCTTTGTGGAACATTCCTTAGGAGGAAATGTCCTTTCTTAAGAGGTAGGAGGACATCTGGTGTGGGCAGACAGGCTTGGTCCTGTCCCTGGGACTCCCTGAGCTGTGTGACATGCCCACTAGGTCTCACAACCTCTCTCACTAGGCCCCTGGGGCAGCCTCATGCTTGTACACCTGCCGTCTAGCTACTTAAGCCAAGGATTTCACTGAAAATCCAAATCAGTAGGGCAAAGGGGCGGGTGCAGGGTGTTTCCCTTCTGGGCCAGAATATTCCTACTCCCACCCCTGTCAGTACCATGACACTCTTTGCCTCCCAGAGAAGCTAGGGTCCCCACACCCTGTCCCCAGAATGCTGTTAACAAACCTGTCTTCAGGACTCTTCAATGACAGCATTGTTCCCTGGGAGTGGTGTTGGCATCCCAGGTTGATCCGACATTAAGATGCATCTCCTAAGATGCCCGGATGTCAAAAATGACAGCCCCTTCTGTTCTCAGTTGCTGAAGCCTTTGCCAGGCAGATATGCCCTCCTGAGACCCTGGGCATGTCCAGTGCAGGAAGAGGGATGGCCTGCTGGGCTAAGGGCAGATGGTTTTGTCATGACCCTACCCCTCTGACCTCTTGAGCTAGCCATGTGAACCTAGATAACCCAGCTGCCACCACTGTGAATTTTGTCACAGTAGAACTCACAGGCCCACAACAGTTCCCTTCTTTTGGGGGGGGAGGGGCATGCGATGCTGCAACCCCTCCCTGCAGCCAGACCCTTCTAATGGAAGAAGGCTGGCTGCAGGAGGGGGCGAGGGGATGCCCATTGCAGACTGAAAGATTTGGCCCTGTGCTGGCCAGGCTGGGATGAGGAAGGCACCTCTGTGGTAGGCAGTGGTGAGTGGGCTGAGTCAATGAGCAAGGGAAGGCAGGATTGGGGACCAGCCAGGTTGGACACCAGCCCGGCCTCCCTCCCAGGCTCCCTGGCCACCACAAGGGCATGCAGAGCTGGAGGCACCACGCCGAGGTGTCCGGACAGTGACTCTGCGATGACATTGCTCTGTTCCTGTCTGTCTAATACTCCTTTTTAATCCCATCCTGCCTGCCCCTCCCTTGTGTAGGGTTACTTTAGTGATCCCTGGAATGTTTTTGACTTCCTCATCGTAATTGGCAGCATAATTGACGTCATTCTCAGTGAGACTAATGTGAGTATCACTCTGCCCTCCCCAGGAAATCTCCTCCTCCTCCTCCTCCACTTCCATTTCTCTCTCTCTCTCTCTTGCGCTCTCTCTCTTTCCCTCCTGTTATGATTTATTTATTTTTTTAATTTCCTGCTTTGGCCCGCCTCCAGTCATGCTCTTTTTTTTTTTTTTTTAATTGAACCTGCCGTCGTCCTGAGGGGGGAAAAAAGTGGGAACCACTCCTCTTTTTGCCCCACCTGTCCTCGGAGCTGAGCCCAGGGAGCCAGCGGTGCCAGCACGGGAGGCCCATGCCGCTCTCCACCCAGGGCGGCCACTGGCCCACGCCACCTCTGAACTAACCCAGCCTTTGTCAGTCCTCTCCACCCCCGCACAAACCAGGTGACCCAGGTTTGAGCCGCCAGAAGTGTACAGTGGTAAGAGATGATGTAATATGCCCACGTAACCTCTTTCTTTTCTCATTTTTTTTCCTCTTCTCTCCCTTCTTTCATGCCTTTTTTTTTCTTCCCCCACCCCTCCCTTTTGTTTTGTTTTTCTCCTTTGTTGTTGGTTTTGTTTCCCCCTCTTCTCTCTCTCTCTCTCTCCTCTCTCTCTCTCTGTCTCTCTCTCCCCTTCGGCTTCTCTGCCCCATGCAGCACTATTTCTGTGATGCATGGAATACATTTGACGCCCTGATTGTTGTGGGTAGCATTGTTGATATAGCCATCACCGAGGTACACGTAAGTACACGGCGTCTGCTCCTAACTGGCCGTGCTCGCTCTAACACTCATTTGTCTCTCCTGCTTTCTTTTTTTGTTCCCCCCTTCATATCATATTTTCTCCTTCTCACTCCATCGTTTTAATTTCTTTAAAAAAAAATTTGTTTGGAAGATTTTTATTGTTGCTTTATTTTGATTTGTTTTTCTCATTTGGAACGTGTTAGGCTTCCCTTTCCTTCTTTGTGTTTGATTGCTGCATCTTTTTCTTACCTCCCCTCCGGCTCCCTGTTACAATCCGCCTGGCATGAGTCATTCTGTATGGGAGGATACAGCTGGATGAGAAAAGTGAGGGATGTTTACAGTTACTCGGTGGCTGCTGGGATGGGACTCAAACCCCTCCTAAAGACCTGCACCTCGGACCCACTCCCTGCCTCTCCCCTCCCCACCCCCACCGCTGTTCCTATCTTTTTATCCCCCACTGCATCCAGGAAGTGAGTGCCCAGGACACAGAACACCTGGGCGTAGGCTGGGAACTCCTCTGCCCTGTCAGCCTTGGGCCTCCCTCACCCAGGGACCCCTCCTCCGTTGCCCTCACCTTGTGTGCAGGGCTTGGTTTCAATCTGACCTCAGCAGCCCACCCCCCTCCAGTAACACCAGCATCGGGAAGAGGCCAGTAGTTCCCATCATGCCCACTTCATGCCCATGACTCCCTTCTCTGAAAGAGCGAAGGAGCTGAGGTTGGGGGACCTACCAAGAGCTTTCCCAGATGGGCCTCTTCCACCCAACTGCTATGTGAGCGCCCACTGCCCCATGAGCCCACCTCTGCCTGGTCCCTCCCCATCAATTCGCGTCCTTGGACTCCCCTCACAGCCCAGCTCCTGGATCCCTGGCCTGACCAAGGTTGGCCTGGCCACTGGGATTCCAGGCCTCCTGTCACCTTCTGCTCAGAGCTGTGTCCTCCTATACAGTGCCCAGCAGATCCTGTACATGTCTTTTTGTTACCTGGCATGTTTAAATCTCTCTCTATTATAGGCAAGCCTTTTTGCGATTAGTCTTTCCCATGTGTTGTTTAGTTTGTCTTGATTTTTCTTTTGCAAAGAGAAACCTGGTGATGTTTGCATAAACCTTTGATGCATTGAACTGTTGAGTAACAGCTCAAAGAAGATGCTTGAAAGTCTTGATCTAAGATGTTGGAAAGGGCCCTGGTGATCCACCCCATGTCCCCCTGCCACTGTGGTGTCACTGCCCACCAGCCCAGTGTCCCCCCCCCATTCCACTTGTTGTTTGATGCTATCCCCCCCATCAGTTATCAGCCCGAGTCCTGTCCTTCTGATACCAGGTGGACTATGGGAGGTGACACACTTCGCATCTATCCCCCAGCCCTGCTCCCTCTGTAGCTCCGGGTTCAGAGCCCTCTGTCTCGAAGGGTTGTCTTGGTCGTGTGTGTGTGTGTGTGTGTGTGTGTGTGTGTGTGTGTGTGTGTGTGGTGTGGTGTGGTGTGGTGTGGTGTGGTGTGGTGTGTATGCACCCTCTCTCTTGGCTTTCTCTGCCAGGCCTGAAATCATTCAGCAGTCAGTCTCCCTGCTGATGTTCTAAGTCTCTGAGTCTCCTGGCTCCCTAAGAGGGCTCCCAGCTGTGCAGGCTGAGGTGGACTTACCTGGTATCCAAGCTGCCCTCAACCTCAGGGCTTTCAAGGCCAGTGTTTCTGTGCTCAGGGCTGGGGCCAGGCAGAGTCTGCACAGGGGTTTCTGGGGAGTGGGAACAGAAATGGGGAAGGATTAGCAGTGGTGAGCTGTGTGGTCTGAAGGCTTCCTCTGACACAGAGCAGTGCAGAGCCACATGGACACCTGCATAGAGGGACTCAGTGCCCCCAGGGCAGGAGATTACAGGAGGGGGACAGTGGTCACCACCACAGGTGACAAAGGATCCATTGCAATTCCAGAGTGTCCTCCAGGGCACTTATCACTGGTGGCACAGCCTGTAACTCTCCATCTACCATTTTCTGTCATGTAATGTGCATGTTTAATAGAAAAACAAAGAGCAAAATAAAAATTTCTAGAACAGAGAATTTTTACAGAAAAAGTGGCAATGTTGGAGAATACGGTTTGAGGGAAAGCATAGGAAGAGAAGACTGAAATCATCAAACATTCTTACATATTTCATATATGAATTATTCATTATTTCATAAAGCAGAGCTAGAGAATTTGCTCTCTTTTTTAAAGATTTTTTTTTACAGAGAAAAGGAGAGGCAGAGAGAAAGATGTTCCATCTGCTGTTTCACTCCCCAAATGGCCACAACAGCCAGAGCTGAGCCGATCTGAAGTCAGGAGCCCAGAGCTTCTTCTGGGTCTGACACATGGGTGCAGGGTCCCAGGGCTTTGGGCTATCCTGCACTGCCTTCTCAGGCAACAAGCAGGAATATGGATTGCAAGTGGAGCAACCAGGACAGGAATTGGCACTCACATGGGATCCTGGCACTTGAAGATAGAGGATTAGCCAATTGAACCACTGGGTTGGGCACAGAGAGGTATCTGTTGTATCTGCTGGCTCATTGCCCAGTACTGGCAACAACCAGGGTCAGGACATGCCAAAGCTTGGATTCTAGACCTGCTGCTCTTCCAGATGTGCATTAGCAGGAAGTTGCAATGGAAAGCAGAATTGAGATTTAAATCTTCACCAGGAGATGCTGGTGTCCCAAGAGTAGTCTAAAATGCTTTGTCAAATGCCTGCCTTGCTGTAATATTTTCTATTTGCAATTCACTTTCTCATTCCCTCCCCACCCCCCCAAGTCTTAATTACCTTATGAATCTGGCAGGGGAGAAATTGCATCCCCAATTTGCAGATGCTAGAAGTGAGGTGATGAAGATGCTGCCCCTCCTGCCATGGAGCTGGGGGGTCTCAGCTTCCAGTTAGCTTACCTTGCCCCAGGGCCAGAAGGCCTCTGTCTGTAATTCTGTCTAATACCCTTTGGTAAACATGAGTCCCACAGGTCCTTCTTGGCCTCTTCCCATCTCCCAGGAATTATTCAAGCTGTGCTGCCTGTAATTTCCATCTTATATAATCATAGGGCTTGGGGATGGCTTTCTGAAAATGTTGTCCTTCAAGAAAGAAATCACGGCCTTGTATGTCCTTGGAGATCCTGAGCCCCTGCCCTCCCAGCCTCCCTTCATCCCATGCCAGATGGAGGCTCTGGATGGTTGTCTGAGGACCTGGTGAGGAGCAATCATGTGACTGACAGCAAGACAGGCTGTCCAGAGGCACTTCTCTCCCACGTAGCTAGTGTCCCAGGCCTCCACTGGGTCCACTTCTAGGTCATTAGCAACTTCCAGGCAGCTGGAGAAGTTTTCTTTCCCAGTCCCTTGGGACTCTGAGTCCTGCTCCCAGCCTTCCCAAACTTTTCTAGGTGTCCTCTTGACACCCCACCTGGGGTTCTTTAGAGGGATTCACATGAGACGCTTCCGCAGAGTCCATGAGTCCAAAATCCAGAATCCCTGTAACCTATTACCTCTGATTCTTGAACTTACAGGAATCAACCCCCAGTCCTCCATTTTATTCCTCCTAACTGCCCGACAAGTATGAACCACACTTGCCACATTGTTACTTATTTAACCAAAGAAGCAGAAGTAAAGAGATTCATTGCCCAATTGCCTGTAACAGCCAGGGTTGGACAGGGCCAGGGCAGCCAGGTGTCTCACATGGGTGGCAGGGGCCCAAGTATTGGGATTGTCACTGCTTCCTCCAAGGTTCTGTGTTGGCAGGAAGCTGGCAATGGGATTCACAATCAGAGCTGGGTATTAGGTACTCTAGCACCAGACCTGGGCACCCTATTTGCTGGGCTAACTGCCACCCCCATGGTTCATCGTATGTCCCCTTCCCTGCTTTCCTTTGCTACTTTCTTTTATTTTTGGTAAACTGCAATCCCAGGGATCACCAGCCCCTGCCTCTAACCCTGTCATAGTACTTCGTCTCACCTTCTACATGTCAGGCATGGTTTTGTGCTCCTGAGACACACTAGGCAAACAGAGGGCCCTGCTCTTGTGAGCATTAATTCTACAGGGGAAAGCCCCAGTGGAGAGTGATTCAGAAAGGACAGCAAGCAGTTGTCGGAGCTGCTAAGTACCTTGGAAGCATCATCATTCAGGGGAGGGGATGCAGGTACTTGGTGCAAGTGGTGCCTCAGATCAGATGCAGGCTCGAGGTAGTTACCCAGGCAAGAGGGCAGACAAAACAAGAAGGGGACAGGGAAGAGAAGGACAGCAGAGAAGCAGGAGGCCAGGCTTGGGCCTTTGGCTCCCAGCTGGAAGGGAATTCGCTGGTGACTTGGACAAGTGTCAACTCGACACAGGTTCTGTTATGAGATGCCCCCGCTGGCTAGCCTTGGGAGTCAAGGGTGGAAGCCTGCAGAAGGCCAGGGTGGCAACCCAGGAGAGAAGGGGTAGCAACGGAAGTTGTGAGTAGCAGCTAGAGTCCTGGTCATTTTTGACAGCAGCCCTAATGACGCTTCCCGACAGATTGGAGGTGGGTGTGAAGGACATTCCCAGGGCCAGGCAGTGGAAGGACAGGCTTGATGGAGTGAGGGGTAGGGAAGGCAGGGGGTAGACAGGGCTTTTCTGGATTTGGAGATGCAGGAGCTCCATCTAAGCTTGTCCACCCAGAGATACACAAGATGGTGAACTTGTACCTGCCCTTGCTCCTGGCTGGCACTCAATGCTCTGCTGCCAGAAAGGAGGGCCAGGGGAGAACCACGGAGACCTCAGCTTCAAAGAGCAGCCACTAGGATGCTCTGGGCCACTTCTGCTAACTTTAGCAGATGTCTCTGAACAGCTGCTCCCCCCATGTCTCTAGAGGTCCCCTGAAGCCTGAGTTATACCTCAGTTGCCCTAGCCCAGAACTACCCACCTCCTTCTCCTTTCTGGGTCTCAGTTGCAGAAGAAAGATTGCAATGGAATCTAAAAGCCACTGAGGCATCAAAATTTAATTCCAGTGCCTCAAGGTCCTACCCGTCGGAGTGCTGGGGCCAA